GAACCACTGAGCTAGATCCCTGGCCCTCTTCTTGTACTTATTAAGACTTAACAAATACATTCTTTTCCTTAATTTTTCAGTCTTCAGAATAATGAATCAGTAGTCTAGATACCTTTAAAAGTGGCCAGTGAATGTTTTCTTGTATAATTATGAACTCATGATTTTCATTTGCATGTTTAATTTATTTTAGTCATTCTTCTTGATATGCAAAAGGGCCCATCTTGGAAGCTGGGAGCTCCCATGGAGTTGTTCATGTGTCCTTTTGACATGACCCCAGCAGTCTTTGATAGATTCCTTGCTTTCTGGCACAACAATATATCCTAGGAGCTCATCTTATGTATTTCTGACCCATGTCCTAGACTGACTAATTTCTTTGAGCAACCATTGGAGCTGGGATTTGAAGCCAGGCAATCTAACAACTCAATTCCCTAGGCCTGAAGCTGTCTGGAAATAACATGTGACCATTGTTCACTTGCTTTGCAGAACTCACTCTGATATTCTAACATTCCCATTCATACTTGGGACACTCAACAGAGTCTAACCTGGGGGTCTGAAGGCAGAGAGGGCAGTATTCCAGAACATAGGTGACACATGGACATTGAAAGCTCTGGTCTCTAAAAGACCTGCCAACATTTCCAACAGCTCTTCATTGTGCACTAGACTTACTAAATATGGTTATTGTGGGTTTTTATTTGCATTGTTGGATTTTTTTAATTCAGAGAGGTAGTATTTTATGATATTGTAATAATTTGTTACTTCTAGAACTTTTTTTTAAGTGGAGGACTTCATTAGTATGAATTTCAATTCTACATCTTTATCAGTGACTTGTTAGGAGGAAAATAAGTCTTATGAATTTTGAGAAAGGTAAATTTCTTATGGTTTAGAGAGGTACCAAGCATGAGACCTTATGAACTAGAAGGCAGCATCATGTAGCTCTTGAAGATAGATGGCAAAATACTGGTAAAGGGACGCCTAGAGACTAGAGCACAGTTTGCCTTAGAAGTCAAAGATGAGCTAGGCATGGTGGCACATGCCTGTAAAACTAGCTACTCAGAAGACTGAAATAGGAGGATCAGGAGTTTGAGGTCAGACAGGGCAACTTAGGGAAACCTGTCTCAAAAAATAATAATAAAACAAAAAAGACATTGAGAATGAGCAGTCCTGGTTGTCCGGAGGCCCAGAAACGGAAGCATAAACAGAAGATGGCCAGCGAGTCAGCCTTCAGCTCTTGAACCAAAAAGATCTTTGATTTTCTTCAATCTGATTTCCAGTACATTGAAGTCCTAAAGGCTGGAATATAGAATTCAGGATTTAATTTTCGAAATAAAGGGGTAGGGGAGTATTAGAGCTGTACTTGAGGAAGCTCTTCTTAGGTAAGAGTGCGGATGATGGATTGTAGAGTCACAGTAATGTCAGGTCAGGGAAATAATGTGAATTGGAAAAACAATGTCAAATGGTTAAGCCCAAAGGGAAGAAATGGTCTAGGTAGGTAAGTCTGTTGAATTTTGTATGATGTGGCTAAAGGTCCTTTTGTTACTGAGAAAGGTGATAATTCTGTAAGTTCAGGAAATATAAAAACATCATAAGGGTAGGGTAAGGGAGAGATGGCAATTGCTTTTTAAAAAAATCAGATTCCTAAGCCCTTCTACTAAATTAAAAGCCCTAGGAGTGGTGCTCATTGAGTTGCTTTTTGACCTAATTTTTTACCCAGCGACTTTGCAGGCAGTCTTTCTTCACCACCTTTTGCTTATCTCAGTTGTCAAAGTTGTTTGCCAAGGACCAGAAATCTGGATCTCTGCCTGCCTATCCTAAGCTCACTTCTTTCTGAGGGTGGCTGCACTTTTCTGGGATTGTCATCATTCAGTGACACAATTCATGAGTGTGGGACACTTCCTCATGAACTAGAAGGCACCACTGCTGCCTTACTAACTGATGACCTCAGTGAGTATGTCCAGTAGGTTTCCAACTAAAAGGACTTATCTCTCTGCAGGTACAAAATGAAGCCAAGACACCCTTGAAGAAGTTCTTGTTGAACTTGGCTGTTGCCAGTAAATTCAGTGAGGTGAAAAATGGTATCATCAGGCGTGACAGTTTGTGGGATAAGCTCATTTTTGCAAAGATCCAGGTAGGTTAAACGGGTTCTGGATAAGCCATCAAATGCCAGGCTGCTCTCTACTCATTGCACTTTGCTTTTCCTTGATAGCGTTAACTCGAGATCATGTTGGACACTTGTCCACTAACCTTGCACTAAAGAAATTGGTCTAAAAGCATAAAACAAATTTTATTTAGGTATTAGCCCTCTCTATTACTCTCCTACGTGGTCTGTGGACATTATAAGCAATTTTATAGGCCCCCAAACATAAATTTTTTGAGGAAACATGTTTAAAGAAAACATGCAAGTACTGATCTCAAGTATGAATGGTGGTGACAATAATAGCTAACATTTTAAATGTTTTGGGTTTTGTTTTGTTTTGTTTTTTTGCAATGCTAGACTCTATTCTAAGTGTTTTGTAAATTAGCTAGTTAATTCTTATAATAGCAAGCTATTATAGCCATTTTCAGAGGAGGAATCAGGAGCCAAAAGAGTTGATTTCAGCAGGTCTTTTTGTTTTGTTTTGTTTTCCATTCTACTGAACAGAACAGCCTGGGTGGGAGGGTTTACCTGGTGATCACTGCAGCTGCTCCCATCTCCAGTGCAGTCTTGACATTCTTCCGGGCAGCAATGGGATGTATGGTAAGATTTTATTTTCCTATATCTAGAGCTCATTATTAAAAAAAGGCAAAACACAACTGCAAAATACCAATGAGAAAGTCACCCAAAATCTCAAAACCAAGAGAAAATATCCTCCGAGTCACCTCCTTAGGCATCTGTATATTAAAATTTTTACACAATGGAATTAGTATTCTAAAATACCCATTTAACTGTACCTGTCAGCATTGCTTCTTTTCAAATAAAGATTTACATCATTTTAATGTTTTCAAAATGGTTTATTAAATTCACTCAAATGGTGAGTTTACTACTGATAAATATTTGAATTGCTTACCATTTTTCATTGTTGTAATCAATAAAATGATAAGGACAGGTGTGTTCCTTAGTAAGTATGCAATTATCAATTTAGAATAAATCCATGAAAATAGAAATTACTAGGTAAAAGTACATATATATATATATATATGTGCATTCATATACTTTTAAAAAACATAGTAATGTGTATTATCAGACTTTCCTCCAGAAAGATCTAGCCTTTTAAATACATTTCTACAAATAATGCATAAGCCTCATTTCTCTATGTTCTTGCTAGTAACACACCTGGTCAGCCATGTAAGCCTAAGTCAACTGGTTACCTCTAAATGAAAAACTGTATTACAGAGTTTTCTTTAACACTATTGCTTATTGACATTTGTGTGTCTTTCATGAATTACTCTATTACTTCCTTAAGAAAAATGGACAAAGGGTGATTTGATTCTCTTTCATATTGCTTTCTAAGAATTCTTCATATCATAATAAATTAATCTCTGTTGTACTGAAAGTACTTTTCTTAGCCTCATATTTTTTCCTTGTATGATGCTACATAAGTTTCAAATGTTTAGGTAGTCAAATTGGTTAAGGCTTTCTCTTTGTGGTTTTTTAATTGCTTAGATAGGACTCTTTAATCCCAGTATTTCATAAGACTGTTTTCACCCACATTTTCTGATAAACTTATGGTTTTCCATTTTTTTCTATTTCTACCTCTACTCTCTATCTGGAATGGGTATGGAGCCTGGGCATGGATATTATGTCATCCTCTTCCCACGAAATGGACTGCTAATTTGCCTTTCCAGCCAACCATGCACAGTATAAACAAAATAGAAAACAGACACAGGCTTATGCTCACAAAGAATGTCCCTATCCATATAACCACAATCAAAATAGATTCTGAACTGATACCTAGAAGTCCTCTAGGTTCTCAAACTATCGTCTTCTCAGTCATTCTTAATACTTTCCTTCAGTCCCTAAGAGCAGTAGATTAGAAAGTCCTGCTCTCTCACCTCACTCCTAGAAAAGTGTTCTGTAAGCCCTTCTCCCTCTACCAACCCTGCCTGTCACAGCCACACTTACAATGAGCAGCCTATCAGCTTGCTTCCTGTCACCAGCACTCCCCAGTCCAGACTATCTTCCATGCCAGGGTTACTAAACTGCAGCACAGGCCAAGCCTAGTCTGCTGCATACCCTTGTAAATGAAATTGTATTGGAGCCCAACCATATTCAGTCATTTACACACAGTCTATGGCTGTTTGGCCGCTATCCTGCCAGAGTTAAGTTGTTGAGACACAGACCATAAAGCTGAAAATATTTACTATCTTACCCTGTGCAGAAAGTTTGCCGACATTTGCTCTTTACCACAGCTAGAGTTATTTTCCTTTAAAAATGTTGCTCCATTTCTTTAGTCATTCAGCAATGTTCCATTGCCCAGGTTTGGGTACAGTTGCACTGGGTTGCACATCACTTGCTAACTTGCACTTTGTCAACCACTCCAAATGCCATACTTTTCTTATAGGCTTCTGTACTTTGCTCTTTTGATGAATCCTTTTGTTTTTTGAGTAAACCCTCAGCTGTAAAGACTTAGAAGCTGGGGCATGAATTTAAGGTTTTAAGAAACTAAGTATCCTCCAATCCTGAGAGGCCTTGCTCTTCTGGCCATAGGGCCTGACCAGCTCACACTTGACTTTGAGCACATCTCAAAGCTCTTCTTTGGTTTCCCAGGTATTTGAAGCTTATGGTCAAACAGAATGCACAGGTGGCTGTACCGTTACATTACCTGGGGACTGGACCTCAGGTAGGTCCTTCCTCTGTGGGACAGTGGGTACAGGGGCTGGGAGAAGTGTTCCAACTGGACTAGCACTGAGTTTAGATAATCTCAGTTCTGTAGATCAATGTAGCAAATGTCAAGTGTCAAGTTTGGGGTCCACAGTTGCCTGTCTTGACTATCCAGCATTGGTACTAGGTGATTTTTCAGTCCTATTTTCTTAGATCCATAAATGTCTCAGAAATATGTCTCAGAAGTTTTGTGGTTTCCCATCTGATTCAGTATGGTATATTCTAGGTCACGTTGGACCTCCTATGTGTTGCAATTATGTGAAGTTGGAAGATGTACCTGACATGAACTACTTTTCAGCGAATAATGAAGGAGAGGTGGGTAGGTCAGATAATCATGTTGGGGCTGGGGGCTTAGAAGAGAAAAACACATAATTGTAAGGAGGCTTGGGTTTGACTTGAGATGTCTGGCAAGGTATTTCTGAGCTTCACTTTCTTGTCCCCTATAATGGAACTAAAATACAGTATTCTCCATGAGGTGATGGAATCCACTGGATGAATACAGTGAAGCAGGTGCCTCATAAAGTGCCCTTTCTGGGAGAAGCAGCTTTGCCATTGTCTCTACCTTTTTCTTTCTGGTACACAGATCTGTATCAAGGGCCTCAATGTGTTCCGAGGGTATCTCAAAGAGCCCGAGAAGACACAGGAGGTTCTGGACAAAGATGGCTGGCTTCACACTGGAGACATCGGTCGCTGGCTCCCAGTGAGTATTTCTGCATAACTCTTAGAAGTCTGTGCTGCTGGACGGGGGAGTGCAATTTGCCTATGGCAAGAGAAGCAGAAATGCAAGTAGCTTAATCAATAGAGGCACCTGGAGGGGAATAAATCTTTATTCTACATGGTGTGTGGCTTCTCCTCCTGTAAAAAGAAGGGCACAGCATCTGAAAGAAAGTTGGCTAGGGAATGGGAGATCTGTGTTCTAGTTACAGCTCTTCCACAGACCAAAATGTGAAACCCTGAAAAGTAGCTTAATGTATGACCCGGAGCTGTCAAAGCTGGAGGCTGTCTTCCCCACAGCCAGAGTGCTTTTGCTACTTTGACTACAATGTTGTAGAAGACAAGATGTAGACCAGTTAAAGGGTTTTCTTCTTTTCTTGTTCATTCCCAAGTGCAAAGTCAGCAGGAGGCAATAGTATGGGCCCTGTTTTCAGGCCCAAATGAAAGGTGGGGTTCTTTGAAAGGTCACATCGTCCTGAACCTTGGAATTGGCTCGATCCCTTGTAGTGGGGTAGATTTATTCACGGCCAGGGGGAAAATCGCTGATTTCTCTGGGCAAAGGGAGTGAGGAATAGAAGTCCATTCTTTTTTTTCCTCCCTTTTCTTTTCTTTTTACTTTTCTTGAGGCAAAAATTGAGATCTGATAGTTGCATGCACCCACCACTTTCACCTTTGTGAGTTTTAAAGAGATGGTTTTTTTCATCAAATCCATGAAGAGACATCAAACAAGGAAGTAGGATTTCTAAACCAAATGTTTGCAGAGGCCAATGTTTACCTCTCACTGGCCTTTACAGCCTCTCACCATAGTGGACCCAGGGCTTTTTATGGCTTTGCTTGCTGATAAACAATTAGCAATGGTTGCTGTCGATGCCATCCTTTTTCTTAGGAAGAGAGGAAATGATAGTACAGTAGTGGGGAAGCCTTCAAGCCTCCGCAGGGGATTTCTTTCTGAAGGGTCTCCTTTCTGGGTAGTTCTCTCTGAGGGATGGGGGAGGGTGGTGCACAGCTGTAACCTCAGCTACTCAGGCTGACGGGGGGGGGCGGGATTAGAAGTTTGAGGTGAGGCTGGGCAACTTAGTGAGACGCTGTCTGAAAAACAACTAAAGAAGACAGTGCTGGGGTGTGAGAAACTGAGAGTGTAAATAGGGATAAAATGTGTGATAGATGATGTGAAGGAAGAAACGGTCCCAAGGGGAAAGGGAAGTGGCAGGGGCGGGGGAAAGGAAAGAAGGGAAAGGAATTAATATGAGAAAAGGAAAAGGTGGAAACAAAGTCTTTGTAAATAGGGAAGGGCAGAGGGGGTGAAGGGAGGCCAGGGGAAGGGGGGGAAATTAAGAACCAAGATATATCATGTAAAGGTACAAGATCCCAATGACGAATGTCATCATATTGTATGCCTAAAATGTACCAGTAAACTTATTGAATAATAAAAAAAAAGAAGACAGTGCTGGGGATACAGTTCAATGTGTTGGCCATGTATTCAATGCCAGTACCACCAAAAAGGGAGGGGTTGTTCTTCTACTACGTGCTAGGTGAGTGGGAATGTAACTAGGTCTTTAAGGGCGATTCAAAGAATTCTTGACAATGAGACCTTCAGGAACATGGTCCTAATGACACCACTGTTCATCGATTTTGGTCTTATTGTATCTTGCTAACATATGTTTCTGTTTAATAAGTGTCCCTGCTCTCATAAGCTGAGGATGTAGGCAATAGATATGGCCCCATACTGAGGTTATAAAAGGCCACTCCTTATTAATCACCTTCAAATAATGTTAGGCTGAACTCATGAGTCAGCCTTGATGGTTCCAGGGTTGATTCAATCTATTGCCCTACTTCTAATGTGCTCATGTGGATTGCATTTGCCACTTGTCCTGCTTCTACAATTCAAATCCCTAAGAACATAAGCTCCTCAGAGAAATTAAGGCCAGAAAAACAAAGTTGCAAATGACCTCTGGTGACTGGTCAGAGAGCTTACCCCAGCCCGCTCCTGTCCTAACAAGCCCAGTTACTGACTTGCCTAATTAGTGCAGTGGCGCTGTTTCAGCCTGCTCCTGGGTCTATCTGGAGGGAAACAGCGTGGAATCAAGGAGGGGAAGAGCTAACTAATCCAATGGTTTTAGGAAAAAACTCTTTCCCTATTCCAGAGAGTTCTGCAGAAGGAGCAATTGGAAATTAACTTACTGGAAATGGAAAGCTGCAAAATTTCTTTCTTGACTGAGGCAACTATTTGGATAACCCCGAGCAGGTCCCAGAGACTTTTCTGAGATTTTCCAGAGACATACAGTATAAAACAGACTCTTGCTAGCAGCTGCTTCCCCTTTCCCCAAAGCCAAGAAAGAAAAAGATTCTCCAAAGTCTCTTGAGAAATTGACGTTATTTTTTCAAATTTCAGATGGGAAGTTTATTTTTTTGTTAGGACATTTGTAACATGTAATGATCACACTCTTCATGAGGAGTTGCTATGTGTACATAACACATTCCAGTCCTTTTTTCATCCTCTTCATTTCCCTCCCTTCCCCTCCACTGTCTCCTGATCCCCTTCTCTTTTGGAAAAGATCTTTCTTCCTATTTACTATTATCTATCTTTTATTTTGCTCTTTATTTAAATTTGAGGTTTCTCATATAAGTGAAATCACTTAATATTTAAACTTGTGTGTCTGATTTATTTTATTTAATGTTATGGTCTCAAGTGCATCCATGTTCCTAAGAATGACCAAGTTTATCCTTCCTTATGGCAGAGTAGTACTCCACTGTGCATAAATATCACACTTTATTCATTTATCTGTTGGAGATACAGCCACTTCCAAGCTATTTAGCTATCATGAGTTGTGCTGCTATGAACGTGGGTATTCACATATTACTATAATATGATGTTTTTAACTATTTCTGGAAGCTACCTAGGAGAATAGCTCAGTCAAATGGAATTTCTGTTTTTAGTGTTTTGAGGAATCTCAAAACTGATTTCTGTAATGGTTGTACCAGTTTACCTTCCCATCAACAATGTAGAAGTAAGTGTTCCCTTTCCACTGCAGCCTCTCTAGCATTTGTTATTTGATGTCTTAGTGATAGCCATTCTTTCTGGAGTAAGTTGGACTCTCAGTGTTTTAATTTGCATTTCTCTAACAGCCAGAGATGTTGAAATTTCTTCATGTATTAATTGGCCATTTGTACTTCTTCTGATAAGTATCTCTGCATTTCAGTTGCCCATGTTTTGGTTGGGTCTTTGATTTTAGGTGCATCTAATTTTTATTAGTTCTTTATATATTCAAGATATTAGTCCTCTGAGGAATGACTCGAAAAAGTTTTTTCCCTTTCTATAAGTTATCTCTTCACTCTGTTGGTTGTTTCCTTTGATGTGCAGAAGATATGATCCCATTTGTTGATTCTTGTTATTTCTTGTGATACTGGGATTCTGTTCAGAAAGTCCTTGCCTACACCTATGCCAAGAGTTTTACCTATTTTTATCTTCTAGAAGATTGTTTCTATTTTAGCATTTAGATTTTTTTATTCATTTTTATTTTAGTTTTGTACCTGGTGAGAGATACCGGTCTAGACTCAATCTTCTGCATGTGGATAGCCAGTTTTCCCAGGACCGTTTGTTAAAGAGGCTGTCTTTCCTCCAGCATATATTTTTGGCCCCTCTGTCAAAGATCAACAGCTGAACATACCTGGGTTGTTTCTGCATCCTCTGTTTCACTGATCCTTGTGTCTGTTTCTGTGCCAGTGCTGTGCTGTTTTAATCACAGTGGCTTTGTAACATAACTGCAAGTCAAGGATTGTGAGTCCTCCTGCTTTGTTCTTATCTCCCAGGATTGCTTTCACTATTCTGGGTCTCTTTTGTTTCCATATGAATTTTAGGTTTTTTCTCAAGTTCTGTGAGGAGTGCTACTGGTATTTTGATTGGGATTGTGTTAAATCTGTGTATCAGTTATGGAAATATGGCCATTTTGATAATCATTCTACCTACACAGGAACAGAGTATCTTTCTATTTTCTGATGTCTTCTTCAACCCACTTTTTCAGAACACTGTGGTTTTGTTGTCGATGTCTTTCTCTTCCTTGTTTAGGCTAATTCCTAAGTATTTGATTTTTGGGGGTGTTATTTTGAATAGTATTATTTGCCTAATTTCTTTCTCAGTGAGTTCATTATTGGTGTACAGGAAGAAGAAATCAACTTTAAAGCAAGATAATATCTGTGACTTTCCTAAACTACAAAATGACACCACTCCTAGAGTTCAAAAGTACTGATTCTTTTATTTGTCTCATACAGAATGGGACTCTGAAGATCATTGACCGGAAAAAGAACATTTTCAAGCTGGCACAAGGAGAATATATTGCTCCAGAGAAGATCGAAAACATCTACAGCAGTAGTGGTCCAGTGTCACAAATTTTTATTCATGGGGAGAGATTACAGGTATTATGTTGTTAACCATAGCCATTTTCAGGTGCAGGCCATGCTAGTTCCTATAGCGACAGGGAATTTGGACAGGTGGGTTCAGGATGAGAAGATCCAGCTCATAAGACTAAAGAAATAAAGCTATTAACAAAAAAATGTTTTTGAAGCGCTAATGGACTTTGTAAACAATTCAATAGAATGGTTAAAACACTCTGCTAAAAGGTAGCTTTTATCCCATATCACAACCCACTTTGCTCTTAGTTTTGACTCTAGGAATTCCCCTGGCACAACAAGTTGTTGAATACATACTAGATGTAAACTTGGCTTTTTTTTTTTTTTGGTGGGAGGTTGTGGGTAAGAATGTTGACGAGGACAGGTCAAAGGTTCTTGACACTTAAGACTGCCACCTCTGAAGATTCCGAGTGGAGAGAACATCTTTGTAACGATGTTGAGTGGGACAATGGGAGTTTCATGGAGCTTTGGGTAGGACACTAGTTACTACACTTGAAGCTTGGGAGTGATAGAGTGATAATCTCGCTAGTTTTCTGTACTGGGTGACATTCCTACATTGGTCCTCTCATGCCCTTCCACCTCTTGTGTCCTTTCTACAGTCGTCCTTAGTAGGAGTGGTGGTTCCTGACCCAGATGTGCTTCCTTCATTTGCAGCCAAGCTTGGGATTAAGGGGTCTCTTGCAGAACTATGCCAATCCAAAGTAAGTCTGGGTTAGCAAACCTAAAGCACACCCACTGGCCCATCATGAGGGAGGAGGCCTTGCCAGGTAGGGCTCCCTGGGGTCCCAGAGCCTCCTCTCTGGAGGAGCAAAATCTTCCTGTGTCTGTGACATGTAACTACAGCCCAAGAAAACTGAACAGTTTTATTAGCCTGTGAAATATGAGTTTAAGAACAAAACAAAACTTTTTTATGGTAATATGGTCCTTGTAGGAAACAAAAGAGAACTGGAAAACAAGAGAATAAAAATGTCAGAGAAAATCCCTATTAATATTTAAATTTGCATTTTCTTGCTTTTTATTCAATTGATATTAGGCACATAAGGTGATTGTGCATTCTTTTATATCCTGCTTTTATCCCAGTCATCTTTCGTAGACATTTTTTGTTGGCTCACACTTAGCCTTTCATTTGGCGTCTTTTACAAATGGCCATATTTTAAAGGATGTTTTATATCTCAGATCGTAAAAGAAGCCATTTTAGAAGACTTGCAGAAAATTGGGAAAGAAAATGGCCTTAAATCCTTTGAACAGGTTTGTATTGTTGATGTTATCCTGGTTACTTGTCATACTAGAAAGTTTTATTTAAAGTTTCCATTCCTAAAGGAGTTTAAATAGATAATTTTCAAAGAATTGATTTTAGATTTTGTACCCTTAATCACAAGTGGTAGGAACCATTTGTAGTTAGACATACTGTCCCTTCTTGCTGTTCATTATCCATTCTCCCTATTCATTTCTTTCCCAAATTATAAGCGTGAGAATGGGCAAGTTTACTGTCTTTACCCTCCACTGTGTCACTTCTATAAGGTGAAATAAGTCTTTGAAATTCTTCACAGAGTGCTCAGAGGACCGTGCAGAAAAGTTCAAATCACTAATAAACATGTATGCATGTGTTCATCTCACCTTCTAGGTCAAAAACATTTTTGTTCATCCAGAACCATTTTCCATTGAAAATGGACTCTTGACACCAACACTGAAAGCAAAACGAGGACATCTCACCAAATGCTTCCAGACCCAAATTGACAGCCTGTATGAGAGTATCCAGGAGTAGGCTGAGGTACTTATGGCTGATGGGGATCTTGGCCTGCTTGCCCACTATGGGCTGCCTTGTGAGAATCTGGATTAAAACCTATTCTTCCATTTATCTCACCATCCCTCCTATCTGTTGTTTTGCTTACAGAGTTATCAAACCCAGGCTTTTGTTTTTCAATACTGAAAGACTTATAGTGCCAAAGGAGAGCCCTGAAATAAATAAATCCTGTTCTTCCTAAATTAAATGTTGCTGATGAAAAAACTTCAGGGGGCTACTTTGATCCACATAGCTTTCTTCAAAGTCCCAGTTTTGTTCTGTATTCCTTCCTTACCATCTCCAACTTAAAGCCATTTTTATTTGGGATCCCTAGTTCTAGGGTCTAAAACAGTGATGGTGAACCCACTAAGAAATCCATTGTTATTTTCCTTATTTTATAGTAAAACCTAGCTTGCCTAAACCTCTTAATGTTCAAATCAAGAGATCTTTAAGTTCTGAAAAGCTGTTTTCAGTTCACGTTTTTCTAGTTACTTCATAAAACTGAGAATTTTGAGTTTTAACCTATCACTCAGATGTGTGAGGCAAATGTCTTCTATGTACTTCTGTATACACCATAATTTATGTATATAAGGGGAAAATGGTTATACCAAGCAAATCCTATATTCCCTAGTTAGATTTCTGACTTGGGAGTATCAGAAGCTGGGCCTAGGACATGTCCAAAAATGAATGCTGTCTAAGTGTTACCTGGAGTGGTGGTAACCGAATCTGCTCTTTAGTCTGCTGCTGAGCTGGAAGCTGCAGGGGAGTCGAAACACATCCAGTAACTTTTCCAGTAGATGAAGCAAGCACTGAATAAAACCTTCCTGCACTGGGAACAAAGATTTATGGGCAAACATGCTGTCCATACCTTATCTTCTGTGAAGTAACCAACTTTTTCACCCAGACTCCAGCTACTGCTGTACATTACCACCAGATCATAAATACATGTTGCTTCTACTTGTAAATGTACAATCTTTAAAATAAATTGTTGCAGATATTGTGGTGTTTGTTGCCTCACAGACCATGACGAGAATCAGTCTTAAATTTAAGGATCACTTCCACATCAAGGTAACTAGTGATTCTCAAATTTGCCCACACACTAGAATTAACTGGAAGTCTATAAAGATACTAATGCCCAGGTGCTGTGCCAAGGGACTCTGAGCTAACTGGCCTGAGGTAGTCGGGTATGGGAATTGTTAAAAAGATGAGTGTAATATGCAACCGAGTTTCGTAATTATTGAAGCAAAGGAAACTGAGAGGATCAGTCCTGCTTATCCCATAGCTGCAATAAACACCAGTCAAGCCAAATGCTGAGCACTAACTTGTTTTCCCTTTACCACCTTGTTGTACTCTAACCTTGACTAGTCTTTCAGGCTTCAAACTGGAGTTAAGAAGAATGTTCTAGGTTGGTCTCTCTGGACCTTGAGCCTAGAAAAGCTGAAATGTCTCTGCATGCGTTGGAAACAAAAGGCAAGAATGCATAGGGTTCTCTGTGATCGGCTTCCTCTCACTCTTTTGAGTTCCTCTCCATTTCCTCCAACTCACTCCAGCCAACCCTCACTGCTGCCTTATCCCTCAGTCATGCCAGGCATATCCCAGCTTCGTGTTCTTGCTTCCCCCCACCTAAAAATGCAGATACCCCGAAAGGCACAGGACTCGTTCCCTCAGTTGCTCTAAATGCCAACTCACGCACATCCCACCTTCTTCACTGTACATGGCTCCATATGACACACTGTCTGTCTACCTCCTGTCTCCAATGCAAGGAGGCAGAAGCCTGTCTCATTCTTCATTCACTGCTGAATCTCCAAGTGCCCTTTGCTTATTCTCAACTGTTACAAGACCGGCGGCCAATACACAAAGTTCCCTGTCTTGGAAGGAAGTAAGGAATAGTGGACCAAGGCTGGGGATGTAGCTCAGTGGTGCCATGCCTGCCTGGCAAGTGCAAGGTCCTGAGTTCGATCCCGGTACCGGGGGGTAAAAAATTAGGAACAGTGGACCAGTTTAGTATAGTTCAGAGAAACAGGCATTCTTCCTTCTGTAATTTTACTTATATATATGTAGACAAGCTCGACTCTGAGCAGCCAACTCTACCAGTGTGGATCCCACCATTTGAAAGTTTCCACTTTTGATAAATTCAAGTGTATATAAGCAATTTGAGACCACTAGGTTTAAAGACTCCTAGAATGCTGTGACTGCAATATGCCATTAATAGGGCTCATATATTGAGGTGACTATCTTGTGTCTTAAAAGGGTCTTGATTCAGGATGCCTATTTTCCACAAGGTAGTAGGGCAGTTTTTGGGTAAGGATGTAAGATAGAATAAAAAGTCAACAAAATAAAAATGCGTTAAGTAAAAACTATGATTTATACAGAACATCCATCGATCTTTATTTGATTTGACAAAATCTGCATTATTAAAAGACAAGTAACAAAATTTGAGCTTATACTGAATCTGACAAGTTCTTACAGTATCTAGAATATTTAAGAAGTGTCAACTGAGAAGGAAACAAAATATCACATGCAGATGCTCCTGGCAAAGGGGGAACTATATCTGCAGGTGAAGTCCATAGTGTGCAGTGCATGAAGAAAAACCTAGAGGAAATGCAATTAGCTACTTAGGTGAAATATTTTTCCTTTTGAGGGGAAGAAGAGGGATAAAAAGGGGCAGGAATTCAAAGGCATACACAGAATGGCTTCTCCATTCCAAAATGGTAATAAAAATATTTAAATCATGGCACTAGGGCACCTTTGAGGAAAAGAACATCTTAACCAGAGTAGGCTTGTTGCATAATTCTTTAGTAATATGTACAATTTTCAAGTAATGAAGCAGAATTAAAGAATAATTTCACTTGAACAGTGGCTATCTGTTTTTCTTCTCGCCTTCTGGGGTTGGATCTGTTTCAGTATCACAAGGACATTTTTCCACACAGTTTCTAGGGAACCATCCTCTTATCCTTGACACACCTGAGAGAGAAAATTAAATTGAGCAGGCGGCGAAACCACTGAGCTAAATACCCGGCAGAAAATTAAATTGAGATGGAATAGTTTGATTTACTACAGTGACATTACTGGGACCAAGAAGTGCTCTTATTTTAAATTAATAAGCCCCCTCCATATCCTATTCAAATAAGCACAGCTTGAGGAGGGAGAATGGTTTAAAAATACTTCGAACAAGACAGAAAACAGACAGTTCCCGAATTCCATCATCTGGGAAGGGGGTTAATGTGTTTCAAGACAGCACCCACCTGGAATATTCACTTGTGTGTGCATGCTCATAAAAGGTGTTTTGAATCACCCCACACTACATCTCTCTTTTTTTTTTTTTTTGGTACCGGGGATCAAACTCGGGGCCTTGCACTTTTGAGGCATGCGCCGGAACCACTGAGCTAAATCCCTAGTCCTCACACTACATCTCTTCCAGGGAAGGAGCTGCCTACACCCTCTGGAAGTTTCCTTCTTAGACTTTTTCTAAAATATATACTAAGATCGCCTAAGCTGTCAATGGGGTTAATTTACGGTTAACCCCCAGTATTTTTTAAAGAGCACCTTGGGTTAATTTTTACTTTAAAAGAGAATAATTCTAAAAATTAAAAAAAGAACGACAAAGACCAAGAAAGTTTCAATCCACTAGTTTCATAATCACAAGAGGACTGCTCACTCAGAGGGGAAAGTGTACAGGTCCAGGGTTTGGTGCACAGAATCTAGTCAGTCTGCTTGGGTTTGAATCCTGGTGCTAGTTTTTAGTATGTGGCTGTGGACAAGCTGCTTAGCCTCGCTGTGCTTTGGTTCCCTCACCAACGAAGTGTACATGCTAATACCTACCTCAGAGGTCCACTAAGACTTTAATACTGTAAGTGAAGCACTTACATCAGTGCCTGTCATATAGTTAAGCAGGAGCTCAAATGCTCATAAGTACAAGTACTACAGAGAAAGACATGAGCTTCTTTTTGTTGCTTAAGCAGGTGCCTTCCTATGCAGTTCTCTGAATCCATTTGATCATTTGTGATTATTTACAAGTTACTCAGGTAAAATTTGGAATTATTGCTAATAGTCTCGTACTTTAAACATACCCTTCCATTTCCATACCTTCTACAAAGGAATCATCAAGAATTTTGTCTCCATATAACCAGTATCTGAAATATTGAAAAGATCAGGTTTAGTCTTTAGGTTGGCCACTAATTTTGTCATTAAAGAAGAAGTGTAGTATTTTCTCACTTACCGTAGCCCTCTTGTGGCTAAAATGAACTCCCCTTTTCGTATCTGTATTCGAGGTTCTTCAGTGCAGGGGCTCGTGAAAAAAGTTTTGATCCCTCTATTCAAAGGACAGCAGGCACCATTGTAATCTTCTATTGCTTTATAGCGAACCTGTCATCAGCAATCCGGAGAAAAACTGATTATTCACCCACAATATCTGAATTCTCTTGAGTTTGAATTTAAACTTTTAATGGTAGACCCAAGTACTCAGCGCCAACCCTTCCCCTCCCTGCTCTCCATCTAGCCTGCTTCCCTGCAGGAGGCAAGTGATCTTTTAGTTTGTATTAGTACACGTTTGCAGAGCACAATGTCCACAATCCCTGTGTGGGGCTGGTGCATGGACGCGACACATCTTCACCCTTTCTAACCCTTTCCCTCTCCTTCCTCCCTCCATCTGTTGGTGTGCATCTGACTCAAGAAAGATCCATCTTCTTGCTTCCTGCTATTTGTGTTCTATTTCACTATTTATTTACAATTCGGGTTCTTAATATTTAAGCTCGCGTGTCTGATTTCTAATTCACAGCTCTTCCTTACGCCTCATTTCAAGCACACAGTTGCTAAGAATTTAATTCCAGAGCAGTTCTGTCCAAGAGAACTGCCTGCAATGATGGAAAGGTTCTGTAGTTACACGTGTGCTATTCAGCATGTTGCCGCTGGACACAAGTAGCTACTAAGCGTTTACAATGTGGCCAGTCCAAATAGGGAACTCAGTTTTTAATTGTATTTAATTTTAATCAATAAGCTTAACTAGCACTGATGGCTAGTGGCACAATATGCAATGGCACGGCTATATGGATAGTTTTTGTCTTATCGATCTATATTGAGGATAACTATTTTTCTATGTTGGCAATATAAATGGACCACATTCCCTCCAGTACAAACAAACTATTTAAATGAAAACAAAAGTAAACTGCATTGCATTTCAACAAGTTTATTAAGGAATATTATTTAGTAAAAGCCAACCATTGGTTTCTACTCAAAGACAATTTAAAAAATTACACAGATGTATACAGCCTGATAAAAAAGAAATCAGCAATATCGCCATAAAAGAGTTACTTACACTTCGGACTCTTTTATCTGCTTTTTGTTTCAACTGTTCTATCTGGAAGATAAAAGAAAAAAAATTAAGGCCTGAATATTGAAAAACAGCCTAACCTCTTCTACTATGCGAGTGACATGATAAATGCCCGATTGTCCAGAATTTCGTATTGTTGACACTTTGAAAGGCCACAGGTCTTTGTGAAAATTTCTCCTCAGAATTCACTCTCTGGTATCTCCATTGAGGAATCTTAAGAGCACTCACTGTGGCCTGAAAACCAGGGAGATGTGTTCTCTGCCCTCACGAAGCTTCCAGGCTAGCAGTGGCCAAGGCAGAGATGCTGAGATGCACTGACTCTAACACAGTAGACAAACTGTGAAACTCACCACCAGTGAGTCTTGAATAAGTCAACTTTTAACTCACTTTTCCCCCTTAGCCAGCAACTATTACACAGTACTATATGGATATATTAGGGGAAATAAATATCATTACATGGTCTCCACTTACAATCTTTTGAAGTTAAGTTAAAGACATAAGGAATAAGAAGTGGATAAAAATATGAAACCTCATGAGCTACAAGACAGTGGTATACACCCGAGCCCTGTGCAGACGAGTCTGAAGTGGGTAGGCTGGGTTATATGGAAGAAGTGGGGCTGAAAGAGTGGCCTTAAGGACAGACAGAGAAACAGTATAGGCAGAACTGGGTGGCAGGAATGTACAAGGAAGTTCATATGACTCTGAAGTCTGGAGGGTAGTTTTAGGCCAGATTCTATACAACTAAGTCAAAGAGTCAGGACTTTACCCAGGAAGTCTGGGGATTTTAGGAGAGAGTTAAATACAGAAGACACATGATTAAGAAGTACTTCATGAATATTAACTTAGATTCACTTTGAAACGACGAAAGCATTTATATTGCCGACGTTCCTGTAAAACAACACTGAGTTGAGGGAAAGTTAGGGAGTGGAAAGTAAGGCAAAAAGGAAAGACCATTCCAATACAAACACTCACTGTTAAGCTGTACTGCTGACAGCCTTCTTTTACTGGCCACTCCAATCCATCTCCTGCAGGAACCCCTGACCACGTAAATACCTGTCTGAAGTTCTTCCATCTACTTTCCATATCATAAGGAAAAACAAAGACTTCATCAAGTTGGTAATACTGAATTCGATCTTTAGCCTGTAGATAGCAAAGAAGTAAGATGGCAGATGCCCTCGCTTTAAGGTGACTTTCAGTAATACATTACTGAGAACACTTATTCCTTAAATTTGTATCATTCATAAAGCACTTTCTTCTTGGTGTAATGTTAGAGTATGCAGAAAAAACACAGCTTTATCACAATATGGGAAGAATTTGATACAACACAAACTTGGTATGTGATCATCCAGAAAATACTTGACAGGGTTTCCTTTAAGATTAAGCACTCAAAAATGCTTACTAAAAGAGTTAGCTAAATTCATCCCATATATAAAAATACTCTTATGTTCTTGATTGTTTAGCAGCTCAAAGGGATTCAGGTAAAAATAATAATACATTGATTCAGGATAAAGTAAGATTTTATTTAGTATAGAACTGTTTTACTCAGAATAGAACTGTTTCATGGGATCCATGAAAATGCAATAGTTTTATCCTGGGTGGCATGACACCTGTGGGAATGGCCAGATGGGTGTAGCAGGGGTCAATGTTTTATGAAAAACACCTTTTTGAAAGGCCAGTAGGTAGGTGCAGGACATCTTTCAGTTTTTTTATACCATCACACACACATAAATTCTCACTGAAGTTTGCATTACATGTACCTGGTTAGGCACATATGTAAGTTTTTAGGTAGCATAAATTATACTCCAGGAATTTAAATGGTTAGCTTTAATTTAAGGAAATAGACTGGCTTCAAATTTCTTAAGTTCTGCTGACACCTAGTGGTACACAGATACATTATTTATTCCGACAAGCGCAAACTGTTGAAACTTATAAAACTTTAGTGTCTGGTAATTTCTATAAACTTTCCACAGCTTTAATAGGATAACTGAATATCTTACGCAGCAATAAAGTGCCAATGTTAACCTAACTATTAGATTTAGCATGATACCTTTTAGAGTCTTGGTTATTATCAAAAAAAGAAAAGATAATTCTAATACCAATGTATTTATTATGCTTAGCAGAAATGGTACTTTGAAATACTTGATAATCAAGCTACAGTATTTTTGGAAAAAGGTTCTTGTGGCTATTTATGATTATGGATGTTATTCTTTATGAAAAGAATTGCCAGTGTAAAATAAATGAATTTATTCAACTGTTTAATTTTGTCCTCAGATAGTAAAAGGTAATTTCTTCTTCTTCTTTAAATGAAAGCTTTGGAGTCTTAAAAATGGACTAAATTAGACAATATATAGGTCTAGTCTATCTATAGAGAAAAAATGGTCAGGATGAAAGTTCTCTACTCTGTGTTAAAAAGTGACAGAGCTATGTATTGCTAAGGGAAAAGGCAACAAAAAGTACTTAGCCAAGTCTAGAGAAAGGCAAGGGCAGGTTCCTTGTAAGAAATGATACCTAAACTAAATCTTGGGGGACAACAAATCCAGCAACATGAGAGGGAAGATTATTCTAGACTAAGGGAAAAACATATGCAAAGGTACGGAAGAGTAAGATGTAGAAACCACAAGTGAGGTGGGGTGGGAGGACGGGAAAAGAGGCCGGGGAGGGAGGTAAGGAGAAGTGACGAAAGGTCTTCGGTATGAGCTAAGGGGCTGGGACATAGATCTGTGCATCTGAGGTTCTCAAAAATGCTTTGTAGGCTCTCCTATTCCCCAAGACCTTTTCTTGAGGTTTAGTAAGGTCAGATTATTTTTATAATTACACTAAGATGTTATTTGCCCTTTCATCATGTTGACATTTGCAAAAGTGAATCAATTGTTGACATGTTAGATGTAATTATGACAATGGCACTAAATTATATTAATAGTCATTGTATTTATTGCCAATTGTTTAAATTCCACATCCACAGGTACCATATCCACAGACATGGATAAAAAATACTAACAAAACTGCTTCTGCACTGAATATGTACAGAATATTTTTCTCATCATTATTCCCTAAACAGTACTGTAGACGTAACAACTATTTATACAGCATTTCACTGTTCTGGGTTTTATAAGTAACCTAGAGATGAGTTAAAGTACATAGGAAGATGTGCTTAGATTATATGCAAATACTTTGCCATTTTATATAAAGTACTTGAGGATCCACAGGTCTTGCTATCAGAGGATATCCAAAACCAATCCCTGCAGGTACTAAGTTTTAAAGTGCAGCTTTAAAAAGCCAATACTTTTATATAAGAATGTTGTTGATAAGGCAGTAAAAATTGTTATTAAATCTCAACTCTTTGTTTGGTTTTGGGTTTTTGAGACAGGGTCTTCCTATGCAGTTCAGGCTGGCCTTGAATTCACTATGTGTGGCCTTGAACTTGTGGCAATCCTCCCACCTCAGCCTCCCCGGTGTGGTGCAGGGATTACAGGCATGTGCCACCACACCCAGCTAAATCTCAACTCCTAAGTAGATGTACTTTTAACATTCTACATGACAAAATGTGAAGTAGACATAAAGCATGCCAAAGGAGAATGGTTTTCTCAAGAAAAATACTCTTGAGCTGTGAGCTATGTACCCAGTTTTTTTTTTTTTTAATGTAATACTATTTTTACTTGAAAGAATGATTAACAAACTAAGGTTATTCAGATTTCAGCATTCTGTGGGTATTTTCTCAGAAATGAACAAAATCAGGCTGTCGCTTCAAAGGAAGCAACTTTGGTGGTACTGGAGACTGGGCCTAGAAAGTGCTAAGTTATAACCCTAGCCCTTCTTATTTTTAAATTTTGAGACAGGTTCTCAGTAAGTTGCCCAGGTTGGTCATGAACCTGTGATCCTCTTGTTAAACAGCTGAGAATAGAAGTGTGCATCACTGCGTGGAACTTGAAATGTATTTTTTGAAAACTGACATTTGGAAAATCTTCATAATGGAGTAAACCAGTATCTTCCAAACGATCAATGCCTGATAATATAAAAAAAAAAAATCACATGCTGGTAAAAGGCCTACTCACAGAGCACAAGAGACTAACGAATTTTAAGGTAAAAGAGTACAAAAACTTATTGACAAGAAATGTCCCTTGCTGGGTTTTAACGTTGGATCAAAGAATACCCATTATCATCTAAAGGCCTATTAAACTGCTCTACCCTTTTCAGCCTACCTTATGAGGCTGAATTTTCTTCATAAACTTCCACCAAGGCAACATATTTCAATAGACAGAATGGAGAAGTAGATGTGAGAATTCAACTGCCTTAAGTGAGAATATTAAAGAGATTTGTAAAAATATAAAACAAGGTCACTATATTTTTTATTTGGAAAATATAATTTTTGTACAAATATTACTTTTATTAACATATAATAGGTTATTTTTAAATGAAATCTTTAAAAATTCTCAGAAAATATGGCAAATATCAATAAATGTAATATACAAAAAACAAAGCTCTTTAGTGTCCTTAATGATTTTTGAAAATGTAAAATGATCCCGAGACTAAAAAGTTTGAGAACAGTTGCTATAAAATTAATGATCACCAACTGGTTGCCAGGACCTAAATATGTGCTACAGATCCACATTATGGTTCACTTGGCTCACAAAGCTATTTTGTTTTCAATTTGTTTTTTGGGGTTTTTTTTTGGTACCGGGGATCGAACTTGGGTCCTTGCGCATGTGAGGCAGGTGGTGGAGCCACTGAGCTAAATCCCTGGCCCTTGTTTTCAATTTGAATTGCTTGCTAACATTTAAAAGCTGAAAGGATGTCTCATGAAATCAAGATCTCTAACTTTTCTTGGAAAAAAGATTAGAAGGTTTTACAATATTATGGCATATTCCTTTAAGCAACAATCAGGTTTGTACGGCAGCTCTTTGATATACTGGCTAGATTTTCCTCACGCAGGTTGTGTGTCTGGCCTCTGCCAGCATTTGATTTCTAAACCTCTGTTATTACAGTGGTGGTGAGACTCTGCAAAGTTTTAGGCAGGAAACAGGGTAGTGAGACTGTATTTATGATTAAAATCACAATGGACAGGGTGAAGTGTGGATTGAAGGTTGCAAGTTCTGTGACAAAGCTTTATCTAATGTCTGAAACACTTTCGGCACCTTTCCAATGGGCTGTTTTCTCCCCTAGTCTGAGAAATAATGGCCAGATGATTTAGTGTGTGACTTACACCTCTTCAGCAACTCAAGATGTGTGAGAAACATACTTCTGTGGGAGTTATATTAAGGTGGAAATAAAATGATATTCACCTTCTATATAACATGCTAAGGAAATTATTTGGCATACATCTTTTCACTTCCAGGTACTTAACCTGGTCTATTAAAATAATCATTAAAATTTACCTTCTCTTCAATCCAGGATTCAATAGAAGTTTTATTTCTGAGAATTATTTTCATCTGGAAATTAAGCAACAGTGAAATGTAATAAATAATATGATGTTAGTTTATTTACGACTGTCCTCATCATGATTCTGTGAGACAGCTTTTATTGCTCCACGGCAGCATAGATAAAAGACACTGAGGATAACAGAGGGTAAGTAACTCTGTGTTCTGACCCTAAAGTATTTGTTCTTAACTACTGCACAGTAGTTTCCCATGAAAAAGATCATACCAACCCATAATCAAATCTGAATCTCTTATTTTAATTAAAATTCATTTTTTAAATACTATGTGCAGACCAAGGTTTCAAAATATTAATAAAACATGGATACAATCAATTCAATTGGTACCTAAGTACATTTTTGTTATTAAAATCTATTATCAGTGTTTTTAATTAACTTTAAACTTATGATTAATCTATTTATAACAAGTAGCAGTGACTCATTTCACTCAGTGTAAATATTCTGCTTGCCTAAATACATTCAGTCTTTATTCTTTTACACATTTTCTTAGATATGCATGATTCTAACTCATATAGGTTTTTACATTTCAGGATCTTAGTTTATTGTTAATATGATTCTTAATTATAGGCATTAAGAAATTTTTTAAAAATTTGGTCCTAGGTTAATAGAAAATATAAATTGTAACCAAAATCAGCTTATTTTTAAAACAAAGCTTTCAAAAAGGGTGATATATCAAGGCTCTCAGGCCCACCAATTCTAATTCTACATACTTTCTGGATTTCCTTGAAGTCTGGCTATGACCTCACAGACTGTGGCATAGCAAAAGCAACCCTGGACTAGATGTCCTCATCACATTTCAAGGGCCTTCAATAGCCCACATTAGGCCTTCAATGAATGAATTAAGTGAATAAAATGAATTATAAGAACTGCTTTTTGAGGTCCTCCTCTTGTGTTCTCAAGCATTTCATACATAAATCTAAGATGTACATAGAAGACCCAGAATTAACCATTTACTATTAATTATGAGTTCCTTAAGAAGTCCCTAAGGAACCTCTTCATTTCCTTATTGTAGCCTCAAAAATTAGCAAAGTAATTCTCTCACAGAGTAAGCATTAAATAGTAAACATTTGTATTGATATGCAAAGTGCCTAAAACAGTGATTAACAAATCTTAGCTATGATATTATGATTACTTTTAAGTATATATTATAAAATGACATTAATAATTATGTTTACTGAGTAAAATGAATGGGTGGCCTTGGTAAGTCTCTGAACCTTTTTGAGAATCAATTGCCCATCTGTAAGGAAGGGAAGAGGGTAATGTTCTATCAACTTCTTTTAGGGCTGATGTGAAGATCAAGAGAAACTGTACAGTGAGAAGAGTTTTCTGAACTATAAAGATCTATATAACTCTAGATTAACACTTCACAAATTAAACCAATTACCTAGCAATTCTGGCAAAATTGCCCCAATAACATGACAGCTTTTAGCCAAAGGTAATGGAGAGACTTACTTGGATAAAAAACAACATCCCAACAGCTATAGTTGTTCCTACAGCTAATCCCAAGGCAAACAACGTGGCAGCAAATGCAGCTAATCCAAATGGAACAACTGGAAGAGGATCTCTCCGGGCTGCGCTCATATCAATCTTCACTGTGTTCCACCCAAAGGAAAGCTACAGACAACACATACTTAAAATGCTTGTTACAGTATCTGTTCAGACTCTGATGTAACATCTAAAACAATGTGATCAAAAAGGTGACAATTTTACACTGTAGCCAAAGCAAATACATCAAAAATAGCTGTTTCCAATGAATATACTGGCTAGGGTTTTGTGCTGCTGTATAGGATATCATTCTTAGTTTTTATTTGTTTATGTCCCTCACCCCCATGCTAGGGATCAAACCCAGGACCTTACGCATGCTAAGCAAACGCTCTACCACTGAGTTACATTCCCAGCCCCATTCTTGGTTATTTTTCCATGATATTTGTTATTTTCTCAGAGTCAGGTTAGTCAACTCCATAAACTCAATAATATGCATGAAAACATTAGATACCAATCTAAGCTGTAACTGTCTCTCATCTTCTCCTGGCCAGTCTACATTTCTAGTTTTCTTCACCAGCAACAAATACTGTATAGCCTGAGACTTGGCTATTTATTGCTTCATATTCCATCATCAGCTGGCAAGAGCTGGTGAAATGCAAACCAAACAGGGCCTAAACATGTATACTGCCTGGCCTGAACAATGTTTTAAAATTTTAGAAGTTAGGTGCCAGCATTACAAAATTAGGAAATTTCATGTAAAAATTCAGTTTCAGATTTTTTTCTGAAAAACTGGAGGCTCTAGCTAGCATTAGTGGGCTAGGATTTCAAATATCATGAAGTGGCTAAACAAAGTCAAGTGCGGGCTGCCCCTCTGTGGGAGACGTGCACGCTCCAGTTAGTCACCGAGTTCTCTGCTCCTCATTTTTCTTCCAGGGCTCTGCAGAGATTTCTATTTGTAACCTCTGAACTTTATCTCATGACTACTTGTCCATAAATCAACTCAAACCATTGCTGGATAGATCTATTCAGATTGTAGGGTGGAAGCTTGCTCCATGAGTCACCTTCCAGGGCACTGTATTTAGAAATGAATGAAAGAATTACAATCTGCCACATGAGCAATAGAAACAGAAAGCACTGGTGTCTTTTTCTTCTTGCTCTTCTTCCCCAAACTATTAAGCTTGAAATCTAATAAATGATGCATATAGTGCTAAAACAATTACCAACGTCAGTAACAGTATGTCTTCCCTCATCTTAAAGGAAAGAGAAATCTTGCCTCATCTTAAAAATTGCATTTAAATTTTTTAAAAAAGAAACTAGGGCCGGGGATTTAGCTCAGTGGTTCTGCCGCCTGCCTCGCAAGCACAAAGTCCCAAGTTCGATCCCCAGTACAAAAAAAACAAAACCAGAAACTAATAAAAAAGTAAAGAAAAACTGTTTCCCCATGTAAGTCATAGGAAGTACATTTCTAAAAGGAAACTCTTAAATTAATCTTCATAACTACCACTTATTCTGGCATGAATGATGTTTTTACAAAATTTTTACTTACCCGATTATAAAGCTGTGTGTACATAGTCATAACAAAAATGAAAGCAGCATGGATACAACCCAGAGGTGCTAAAAGGAGAAACAGTGTGAACGAAGCATGATTTTGGTGACCACAACAGTTGTTGATCCAAGGACAGTGATGGTCCATCTTCATCACACATCTAACAAGAAAAATTTACATGACACATGAAGCAGAAAGTCTTGTCTACTTTAAATACCTTGCTCTTTAAAAGATCAAGCACATAGGAACCCAGTAGGTCTATGAGTCACTGGCGAATTATACTTACTTCATGGAACAGAAAGATAAATACGAGGTTTTAAACATCTATGGACAGTGAGTGGCTCCTTTTAAATTATAAACAGCACTTGAAAGAGCAGGCTTTATAACAGCTTCTGAGAAAAAGATGTCTGCTACAAGTGAGTTTGTTTATAGAAGTTACGAGCAGCTGGGCATGGTGGCGCAAGCCCGTATCCAAATACTCTGGGGGCTCAGGCAGGAGGAGTGTGAGTTCAGGGTCAACCTGGGCCACACAGTAGCTTCCAGGCCAGCCTGAACTACTGAGAGAGACCCTGTCGCAAACACCAACAAACCCCCAGAGAACAGAACAAAAGCAGTCAGGAGGCCCACCAAGAGGTTCATTGTGTAAAGAAATGAGTATGGCTCCCAATTTTCCTCTAATTCAGAAATGCAGGAACTGAGGCAGAGTACAATAGTGACTCAACAAAACTACTCCTAATTTTCTACTTGGGCTCACAGACCCTGAGAGACACTTTAACTTCCTTTCTTACTGTTCCAGCACACTTAGATGGAGAATTTCTAACTTAAGCAAACCAACTCCAGTATGTAAGATATGGCATAATAAGAAATTTTTTTCTGCTTCTGTTCCTTACTTTTGCTAGTGGAATATTTCCTGGCTTAAAATCAAATTTTAGTTGTCTCCTGTGGTTACTTAAATTTTTCATTCATCAGTAGACATAGCTGTTCATTATAACAGCTCCTGGCTTATTTTACCTACTTTTTAGTGATTCAGTTTTCTTTCTGTTAAGGTTAAGGTTCTGATAATAAAACACTTGTGATATTAGGCATCTGGGTTATTAGACAGTAATAAAAAAAAACTGATATCCTTTATTGTTTAGACCCAGAACAATTCTAAAGCTCGTAAGATGACAGTCAACACAATTCTGAAAGAGAAAATGGAAACAAACTAAAGGTATCACTTGTTACCCTGTTCTTGCAAGGCAAGAGGCAAAGAACATTTATTTTTCTAGAAAAATCTTTTTACTTATAGCAAAAGTGTGAAATTTATTGTCTAGATTGATAATTTAAGTTTATATTAGAGATTACATAAACACAGGATTTTGATGAAATTTTTGATAAAGTGGCACCTTTCGGAGAATAAAAGTAGTTTCTACTGCTGTGGTACAAAGTACAATGACAAAAACAGCAAAAAGGCCAGCAATCAAGTTGCTCAACCCCCAGTGAACACCAAAGACAAATACCTGTTACACTTTCTGCAGTGATGGGAACGCGGTGCCTTGTATGCTTGGCAGGCTTTACAGTACTGGAGATACATGCCGTCCTGAGAATCTTCCTTTCATCAAAACATACACAAAAATACATTAGAACCTCGATCGCAACGTAGAAAGAGCCAAGCTTTATGAGAAAATACTTTCCTTTAATGAATTTCTTTTATGGGAGATGTGGGAAGAAGAAGAATAGAAACTAAACTTGCATTTTCAAGCCTTGTATTTGAGCTAAAATATTTTTCAACTACAAATTTGTGGTAAGAGCAGCTTCACTTTCCCAAAGACTAAGAGGTCATTTTTAATTTTCTTCCTCATGCTGTACCCAATCCAATGTCATTAGTTGGTTCTACTTATCCCAATCTTACTAGAACAGGAGCAACTTAGAAGAAGGCAGTGGACAACTTAAGAGTGGGGAGTTGAGCAGGAGTTGATAGTCTTTCTGAAACCCGTCCTCTCCTTGATATTATCACTGTTACCTCCCCTCTTTGGGGCCATTTTAACACTTTTCTAGCTAGTTTCTTTTTCTATAGTTTCTCTTTTATCCAATTGTTAACACTGCCCTTAACACAAGTCTGTCAGCGCTCTGCTTGACAATCTCCCTTTGTTCTAACAATTTCTCATGTATTTGAGACTTCCGTTCCATCCTTATCTGCACTACATAATCCCCTTTCTAGCCAGACAAAGCTGTTCACTGTTCCTGAATGAGTTCCCACTGTTCTCTCAGGGCCCAGGCTCTCTTCCCCCAAATCTGTGCAAACCCCCACTCCTCCCAGAGGGCCCCAGCCGGAAGCTCATTCTTTTAACCTCAACAGCGCTCTTCACAGGCCACTGTATTTTACAGTTGAGTAATTTGCATAGGTGCACTGGTTTCTCTCCTGGGTTGTAAGGTTTTTCAGAATACAATCGTGTCTCACCCTCTTCTGTACCCATTTCAAATAATACATCGCACATAGAATACGCTGTTTGTCAAACTTTAACACACCTAAATATCATCTAAAGATTCTGTTAACAATTCTGTATTTCTAACAAGCTACAAAGTGATATTCTTCAGCAATGAATATGGACATTCATAAGCATAATTTTTAAGAAGCCATAAATTCATACTATACTTCCTAAGGCTACAATTTTTACAATGATTTAAAAACCTTATGATTTAAACCAACAGTGAATTCTGAGGGATTTTGATGTACTATGTGGAAAACAATCCTACTGCCAAACTTCATTGTGACTGTACCAGATATGATAGCTGGTGTCTCCTAGTCATCATGAACTCCTCCTCTCCTCTCCGACTGTTTTTAAACACAGGACAAGTATTCAGTGAAATTGCTCTGGGTGAAGGTAACTTAGATCAATATTTTCGAACAGATATGAAATAAATTATCTGAGCACAGTGACTGGAGTAATGCAATTAGTCTACACCATGACAAAAAATAGGCTATGTTCGATACTATTGGCTGGCAAAGGGGGCAAAAACTAAACAGTGTATACAATTATGAGAGTTCATTGTTAAAAGGAAATCCTTGGGCTGGGGTCCAGCGCCTGCCTCACAAGCGCAAGGTCCCGAGTTCGATCTCCGGTACCAAATAAATAAATAAATAAATAAATAGGAAATCCTTTTCTTACCGGTTTCCACCCCAGAGGGACAAAGCCAGGACCAACAAACATGGCATTGAAGTAATTATAAAGAATCATAACGGTCCAGTTTATCAACATGATGAAGTTCACGCTTCCTCCAGTTGTATGTAAAGGCCAGTACCACAGCACAGAGTCAATCATGGCCATTGTAGAACATATTGCTATAACACCAAGGGCTACGATGGGACCCCAGTGACACAGTCGCTTTAATTCTTGGAGATTTTCAAACTTGATAACTGAGCACAATGTATTCATTTTGGTGAAGAAGGCCTTCCTACTTCTGAAGAATTATAGATTTCCTTTCTCTGTATACACATGTCCACGTGCCACAAGTCCACGTGTGTTCCTTAATTGTCATGCCTTCAAGTTATGAGCTGTGAATGTAGATTATGCCATTTTCACTACTAAGCATTCAGAGCTCCTTATTGTAACCAGGAGAATCCAGAATCTTGGTTTGAAACCCAACCTAAAGAAAACAAAAAAGAAAGTTCAGTAGAAATTTTTTATTTGTTAACTCCAAGAAGTATCTAAGAGCATCTCAGAAGTGACTACTAAGGGCTGAGTATTTAATTAAGTGTCAAAAAGAATGGCTTTTGACTTATCTAAAACAGTCCCATTTGAATGGCATGTAAACTGTACACGAGATTCTAACATAATCTTATTCCTTTGTTCTCAACTTGTCAAGGGACTGTGACTGTCCAGTGTTTAGAGAATGGCCTGAGACGACAAAGAATTTCAGAGCTTGATCTAATTCAGAGTTGATCTAATCCAGATTCCTTCTTAACAGAATGGAAAGCAGCTTAGAGAGGCTAAGTGCTCAGATCAAGGTCATATTCAGGGAGTTCTAAGCTGTCTCTTAGGAAAGGGTTTCTGAATTAAGAGTGAACCAGACATAGTCTACGCCATTTACAGCTTTCTCAAAACAACCACATTCAGTCTACCGTGGCCAAAGATAAAGTAAGTAGTGTAAACAAGGAGATTTCGAGGAAAGGAGGGGAGAGAGAGTTGTGTGTGTGAAGTCATGACTGAGATAGTATACGAGTAAACGTCAATGAGATTTGAAGAAAAAAAAAACTGCCATCGGGAGCGAGGGAGGGGAAGGGCAGGACATTTGCAGAAGGGCATTTCTGACTGATCTGAAGTGATATGTGGAAAGAATAGCTGAGATACATAGGCAACAAGAGATTCCCACGCAGCTGATGCCGCTGCCTTGTGCCTCAGTTTCCCGTCCTGGTCATGGAGCAGAGCGCTCAGAAACCTTCACTCAAGAGTGAAAGGTCCTAGTAAGTGAGGCTGGTTTCAACATTTTGGAGATTCGATTTGGGGACGAAGACCGCCAAAATCGTGGTTGCATTTCCTGCCTGACCCCCACCTCAATCCGGTCCTTAGTGTCCGCTCCTCAGCCATCGCATTCTGGGGACGGCCTGGGCTCACCCGGAATAGATTTTCTCCTTGGATAACTCCGGCACGGGCAAGTCAGTTCAGAGCAGGCAGAAAGCAAAGTCCTGGTCGCTACAGGCAGAAGTGCTAGAACTGTCTCGACTCGCCCGCCTCCACCAGCGCCCTCGCCGCTACTCTCCCGCGCAGGTCCTCTGCGCAGCCTCCGCCACAGCCACTTCCGGGAGGTTCGCCGCATCAAGCTTCCCCCCAGGAAGCAGGCGCTTATGACCTGCAGGTTGGGTCCGTCGAGCCGTTTCCCAGAGCGTAGAGGATGGCATGCTTCAGTAACCTCTGAGAACACGGATAGCTGCGTAGGCTTTGGGGGTCGCTAATTGAGATGCTTTTCCTTAGCGTATTTCTCACTGTTGAAGCCTGAGCGGAAAATAAAAGGCACGCCCACCCATCTTCCGGAGGACAGGAGATTGCGAAGGACAACCAGGAAGTGGCTGGGCTGGGAACTGTCCCCGGTTCTCTTCTCCGATTTTCAGTGTGCCTGCCAGGGTCCCTAGACTGCGGTCCCCTCTCCCGACCTAGGCTGCAGCCCGGGCCCATCACTCCAGAGCTGCCATGTCCTCCGACTTCGAAGGCTATGAGCAGGACTTCGCCGTGCTCACCGCAGAGATCACCAGCAAGATTTCGAGGGTCCCTCGACTCCCGCCTGGTGAGAACCCCAGCTTGGCCGGGCGGGGGCGTTCCGGAGCGCCCCGGGGCTGGGGGGAGTGGAAAAGCGGGTCGCTGGTGCTCCCAGGCTCGAGGCTGTAGTGGGCGGTGCTGACGGGCCCAGGGGGCGGGGCTTGACTTGATTATGGGCGAAGAGAAACTCTAAGCGGGGTTATGGGGTGCAGTCCAAAGAACCTTCGGAATTCGAGCCATTTGGATTTCGAGTCCATCGCCTTGTAACTTGTATAATGTTGGAAACGTTTCTCAGAGACTTAATTTTTTCTCTAGTAATATGCAAAAATTTGAATATTAAAAAAAAAAAAAGAAATACCAAGATCGTAGATCCGCATTATACAGCAGCGTTGTGGTATTAGGATATGCTGCAAAATAGAATTAAGAGCAAGGATACCTGGATTCAAATTCCAACACTGCCACGTAGAAATTGTGTCGCCTAGACAAGTGTCTTAACCTCTCAACTTTCCTTCTAGGTGAAATGAGAATTGTACCACTCTCATAGAGTTGTTGTGAAGATGAAATAACACGTATAAAGTCCTTTCTTGTGTGTTAGCTAATGTTATCATTAGTATTTTTCATACCTATACCTTTATTTCTTGTTTCTTCCTCCTAGAGGATTATAACCCAGTTTTATCTAAAACTTGTTACAGGGTAATTTTAATTTTGCTCACTTTTAAAATTCCACGTCTCCCATCTGGAGCTGTTTTTGTTTGGCTTTGTTTTGGTGTTTTGGGTTTTTTTTAAGCAAGTATTTCCATGCTAGATTGTCAGCCATGAAGGTGGGAGCTGTGTCTGATTTCCTTGGCATTTATTTTACTAAAGGCTCAGAAAAATGTTTAAATGAATGAGCAGATGTCTAAAATAAGATATTTGTGACTTACATTGACAGGTATTGTTTTATGGTATATCTTTCTCTAAATACAGATTTAACTTGAGTAGTTATATGTAGGATTTTTACTTGCTGGTTTAGTTTTGTCATCAAGGTGCTGGACTTGACCCTACCTCAGGTATAAAGTGTAGAAAGAGGATGCTTATTGATCTGTAGACTTATGTGCAACTTTCTCACCTTGTTAGTGAAGTCCTTGATGCCAGCAGTGATTTTTTTTCCTGTACCTAAGTTGTCATTCCTCTTTCCCTCCCCCTACTTCCCCCCAACTTTGTGTTTATAAATAATTTTCTTCCTTTATTTCCTTGTTTTTTTCCTCCCCCACCCCGCCTATTTTCTGTTAATAGGGGTATTTGCTTGAAGCCAGGATCTCTGAACTCACACCCCACTCATCTCTTGAAGCCCCAGTTAGTTCTGGAGGAGGGGGATGATGTCTTAAAGAGGTTTATGAATCCAAGTAAGGGAGCAGGAGGAGAGAATCAAGGTAGTATGTACCGCCGAGCTCTGCTGCCTCCAATTTTTGTGGAGAAAGTGGCCGATGGCCTTGTCGCTTCATGACACACCTTGACACATCACCTCGCCTCTTCTCCTCAGCTCTGCTTTTCTCCACTGCCCAAGATCATCTTGATTTTATTGTCATTGCTGTCAAAGACTACTTCCTTTGAATTGAATCCCAGAGCCTCAGAATATCAGGATTTGTGGTTTTGGTTGGGTTTTTGCTCAGTTTTAATTGTAATGATTTTAGTAGTTGACACATTTCTTTGTTTGGCGTGATGGCTTTTGAATTGACAGACTGTTTTACCAAGTAACAGTCATCCCTGGGTGCAAAGTTGTAAAAACTGTTTCAAAGAAAACAAATTTTGTTATAGTTGAGTTTTTCTTGCCTTTAAATTGCGATGTAGCAGTTCTTACTACACAGAAGGAAACATTTGTATTGAATTGTTTTAACCCTAACCTGTAAACCCAATGGGGGTGTGAGGGTGAGGCAGGAGGATGAGAAGTTCTAGTCTAGCCTGGGCAGAGCAAGGATAAGCAAGATCTTGTCTCAAAAAAATTTTAGAAAGGGCTGGGGATGTAGCTTAGTGCCAGGGCCTTGTGTTCAGTCCTGAGTACTGTAAAATTAAGTAGATTAATTAATTTTTTAAAAAGCCATGCTTCTGCTTAGCTGTAATATAGTGTAAGGCCCAAACTTGACAGCTACATTACAGTTGAAAGAAGACTTCATTGCTTAAAACTAGAAAAATACTTATTTGAATAATTAAATAACTTTAAAATGCAGTGGTTTTCCTTTTACTAATGAGAAAAACCCCTCATTGATTCCTTCATAATCTGCTTTAATACATAGAAACAGATTTAAAAATGCATGTAGTTATGAATTTCAGGTATATATTGGTGGACCAACTGAAATTAATATGTATAACCATGGCAAAACAATATACTTAGAAGTACTTCTAAATCTCTCTCAGGGCATCATTAGGGGTTGTGGTGCTTAGCTAAAATTGACCCAGAGGAGACCAACTATAATTTACTTGCATTAAGAACATTAAAAATTGGAGCAGGCCAGGCATGGTGGTGCATGCCTGGAATCCCAGCACTCGGGAGGCTGAGGCAAGAAGACTGCCGAGAGTTCGAGGCCAGCCTGGGGTACTTAGTGAGTTCAGGGCCAGCCTGCACTACAAAGCAAGATCCTGTCTCAAAAAATCATAAATAAATAAATAAATAAATAAATAAATAAAAATTCTTTAAAAATTGGAGCAAACTTTCAAGCCAAAGCAGTTCATCCTCCAGCATATTAATTTATCTAAATTGAAGTTGAGTGGGTACAATCTATTGAAATGAACTTTACCATCGACTGTGCATATACAATGTGTTAATGTTACTCCCACAGAGAACAGATTTAATATTTTTAAACTTTATTTTAAAAATTTGATTAAACTGTGTTTTGTTAACAATAAAAAATCTGCTCTTAGACCAAAGTGTTTGAATCTTACCTGATTTTAGTACAGTAATTAGATGTTGGGATGGGTGAGTCCCTTATGAATTGCACTACATTTGTAAATTGGTCTTCAATGATGACTGTTCTGTTCTTTGGGGGCGGGTTTGAGGAAAATTGATGGGCAGAAACCACAGACCAGTACTTTATGGTGACGTACTTTTTGCGTGTATAGTACTAGGGTTTGAACCCATAGCTTTTTTTGATTGCTAAGCAAATGCTCTACCACTCAGCTACATTCCCAGCCCTTTTTATTTGGTGAGGGCCTCTTGCTAGTTGTCCAGGCTGCCCTTGAAAGTGGAATCCCCCTGCCTCGCCCTCTTTAGTAGCTGGGATTACAGGTGTGTACCACTGCCCCCAGCTGAATTTCCTTTTCTTTGGAGATAGGAAAGAATCCCTAAGTGGGGAATATGGTGATCATGTCCATTACATCAAGCAGGTTTTTTGAAGGATCTTGAAGGTTTTTTTGCTAGCTACTTCCTTGACCTCACCATTTGGAGACATAAATGGTCTATTGTGAATCCTCTTATGTTTGTGGTTGTGGACAGAAATGTTTCAAGAATGTACAGTGGAACCTTGACTTTGGAACTCGATCAGTTCCCGAGGGAGGGTCGTAAGTCAATACAGCTGAGATCTGGATGTTTACCTGGGTACACACTATAGATAACAAGAGGCAGATAAATCTTCCATTAACCTAATTAACTCAAGTTGTTTGTATGGCAGGCTGGTCGTAACTTGAGGGTCCACTGTATTATGAAGTGGGTGTGAGGGCACACTCCTATGGTTCCAGCACTCTGGGATGATGAGGCAGGAAGATCCCAGGTTTGCGCCCAGCCTGGGCCATTTAGCAACTTAGGGAGATCCTTTCTCAAAGTCAAAACACTTTAATGCCGGGGAAGTAGCTCTGTGTGAAGAAGGCCCTGGGTCCAGTCCCCAGTAACACACACACACACACTCACACACACACCTATTTAAAATCCCAGTTCTGCTACTTAGTAGATGTGCAATCATGCTCAAATTGTAAACCTGCTTCTTTCGTGTGTAGAATAGGAGCAAAGGGGCAAAAGTTTTAACTACAATGTTTTAATAAAAATCAAGTGAAACAAAGCATGTAACACAGCATAGTTTGTGCACAGAGAAAGTGTGTGCTAAATTAGTTTTATTGACATCAATGCTGCTGCTGAAAACTGCAGCAGGTGGAGTTGGCCAGGACCCAGCCATTCAAGCTTAGGTTAGATGGAGTGTAGCTGAGTCCGGTTGAGAGTCCCTGTTGGGGCGCCAACTGTAGCCGAGCCAAGTACTGAGGCTCACTCTGGGACACCACCTGTAGCTGATCCTCCCGTGGCTGGCTGTGTTTTGGGAGACCCATTACTTTGTTCTCCTTGACCAGGTGGAATGACAAACCATGCAGGCAGCCAAGGGGCGCTTGCCTCTTAGGCAGAGGGACTCCCCACTCTGGCTCATCTCACTTTTATTCACCCAAAGGTGGGCACAAGCAACAAGGTAACACAAGATTCATCTGCTTTCCATTACCCTTAGTGCATACTCTGGTAAGCAGCTTAACCTCAGCCGCCTTTAGTTTTCCCTGGAACCTGAGATATGCTATCACCTCTGAGTGCAGCCCTTGTCCTTTGTGCTCACAGAGGAGTCCAGTTAGGGCTCAGTTCTCCTCTGGTCTCTGACCCTGGACCACAGTTCTTGCTTTCTCATTCTGCCTAGCCTAGGGTGAGGTTAACTTCTCTTGATGAAGAACTACATTTGAAGAGAAGTGACTGATCACGGGCTTTTGGATCTGAAATCGGAATTGGGCTTTGAACTCACGATATAAGGGAGGAAATCAGAGAGAAAAGTAGAAGTGATGGGGGGAAGACAAGTGTCTTCTAGAAGGAAATGTTTGAATCTAACAGATTAGCTGAGCCCTGGAAGATTTAGGAGACCATCATCTACATCACTTCATATGAGTGAACATTGTTACAGGATTATCTCTTGCTTTTTCTCAGTGGATATAGGGAGAGAATCAAAAGAATCTGCTTTTATTCCTGAATATTGCGGTTTGCTTAAAATCCATGCTCTAGAACTGTAATGTCTACATGTAGTTATCGAAATG